ATTTTAAATTTTCTTTTCAAAGAACTTGTGCACCTTGTATAAGTGAACCTTGCGTTATATCTTAAAATAATTACCTCCTATATTATGGCATTTATCATATTTGTTCGTGAGATTCAGGACCGTTGTGTTGTACTCAGAGAAAATAAAAAAATGAAAATCAATAGGATCAAGATTCAGACGATCGAATGAATAACGAAAACCTTGGCAACCGAATTAATGTAGCAGTTGTAGGGTTGTTATAACTGTCTCAGGATGGCCATAGTGACGCAGTAACCACGAGAAATCATTCGCATTCATCTAAACACTTTCATTGGCAACTTCAATCTTGGATGGCTCACCGTAATTTGTCTAGTGTTTCATAACACCAATGCTGTATGGCATCAAATTCACGAGAATACCGTTACGACTGACCGTAGTGAATACCTGGTTCAATAAACAAGCGGCAGTGGAGCACAACATAGGGATTCTGAACCTCCTGAATAGATATAATAAATATATAAACAGAAGCGAGTTATGAGTATACGTAGAGTTCATTTATGTAAGGGACGTAAGAAGTCTACAAAAAAAATTTAGTCAGAAACAGTCGTTATTTTCTGAATGTTCCGTAGTACCTTATCTTTTGGACAAAAAATAGGTATTTGATATGTAATAATTAAATATTATAAACCTTAATTATATTAAAAATACAAATCTGTTAGGTAGCACATTTAGACATACTTGATCCATCTATTACAATAAAGTCTGTGAAACAAAAAGAAAATTGTATTTCAAGATATTGTTTAATACTGTCACATCGTCTACAAATAAAACAATATATATCATATTTCTAAGAAATATTTCGTAGGGTCTTTTTTGTCGTACTGCCTGTAAAAGGCCTTCGTCATAACTACATTGTTAATAGATCTCCCCTTCTCGTTTTCATGTGCAGTTTCAAGATCATTTTTATTGCTAATAAAATGATTATATAACTCTTGTTGTGGTCTACAGATGTTAGATTTTATGACGGATTGAGAATGAGGCCTACAAAAGAGGGTATCGGTGGTTTTTCCTCATATATAGGTAAACGCAGATGAGTATCACTGGGATATGCAACAATTGTTATGCTGAACAGAGGAAATCATTTTCAGTAAAAATATTTTAATTTAAAGACAGAACTTTTGTAGACAAGGATCGTTATCAATTGTGTTAATGTGTCTTGAAACGTATTTCCATGTGATATCACATTCCTGTTATATATCCATCCCTGTGGGAATTAAGTATACCTATACGAACTTAAATGACTAAATCTCCAAAGTTAATAATAAATGCAAAGCAATTTGGCCATATTTGTTAAAAAATTACACAGAAAACGTAAATTAACACATTCAGTACTAATAAGGACGAAAATCAAATAAATTGTTATTAGCTCAAGTTAACTTTCTGAGTATGATTTTCATTTTCATGAAAATGTCGACACGATGAGATAATCTAAAATGTTTCGGCCAAATGAATAACTCACTGCAAGTTATTCATTGCTGCCACCGCAAACATTCCAAACATTTTCTGAAGTGAGAAACCAAAGCAAGAAAAGCAGATATCTTAGCGGTCAAGTATTTACAATATCTAAGACTAATAGCAGAAATATTTTGTCATTGTGCAGAGCATCTACAATTACGAAAATAAAAAGGGGAAATTTCTTCCCTACAATAGGGGAGAAGTTCACGTGTCCAAGAAGCACTCTAATCAGTTTTAGCTTCATGGATTGTTGTGATCATGTAGTTAGTCAGTGACCCCCTAATAATAATTAATTTATTAATAATATTAATAATCATTAAATATTTTTTAAAATCATTTAATTATTTTTTTCACTTTAAATCAAAGATTACAAATATGGAAAACATTTTACAATCAGAGAGAGTTTTGATGAATTAAATGTAGAAATAAATAATAAGAGTTTACAGAAGAATTAAAGAGTGTGTTAAATAATTTAGTTTACTAGCATTGATAACACCATTTTTAACACAATTATTTCCAATGTTATTGCAAGTGTAATAATGACTTTTTTCGATTCTGCATCTCACATATTTTTTAAAATATTATATCATCTCATAATGACCATAAGATTTAGCAATGTATTATTCACAAAATACCACTAATATAAAAGTGTGAAATTATTTTAGAAACATAAATATTACCAAAATAAATATAAATTAATAACATTTGAATTTAATAAAATTTTAACACAAATTAAATGAAATATCGAATATTATTTCGGTCAAATATATTCCTTTATTAAAATACTATCCAACAAAATAGTAAATCTTTTTAAAATTTAACTAATAGAATATATTTAACTAATAGAAATAATTATTGAACGAAGACATTTGCCAGATGTCTATTGAATAACTTCAAATTAACTTCTTCCCACAGCCACATGTCATTGTTTATTAATAAGTGAATACAACTTACAACATAAGAAGAGAAAGTATTATGACCATGCATCTGATATCGGCAAATTTTGGACAGAAAAACACATTTTGCTGAGTCCTGGAAACAAGTCCTGTAAAAAGGATAAAGATTGTTGCTATATAGAAAATTATTTCCTCTGACATGTTGTGTAGCCGGAATCCACTTTTCTGGGTCCTTGATACCGAAATACCAATTGACAGTAACTTCTGCCTGACTGACCGCCTGTCTGTCTGTGGGCAAACTTTAGCCTGTTGTCAAGCTGGCGACTAAACCGTTTACATCATTTTCGAGAATATTGATATTCCCAGATCAATCTATAAGGTTTGAAGGTCATGAGAATTTGAAATGGATATTTTAATTTTTCGGGAGTACTTTACACAACGCCCCAAAGATAATCAAATTTTTCTCAAAAGTGTTTACCCTCTCGCTTCGGAGTAGATATAAAGTTATGTAGAGATTCGCGAAAAAACGGCGATTTTGCGGCAGAAAAACTCTTATTGCCCAGATAAAGTAAAGGTGGAAAAACTCAGTTACTAGACTTAGAAAAAAAATCCTTTTACACGTGGTGTAACCAGAATCCATGTTTTGAGGGTCCTTGATACCGAAAAATCGATTGACGGCAAAATGTCTGTCTGTCCGTTTGTGAACAACGCTAGAAGCTAAACCGTTCCGCCAACATTGATATCCCTCTACCGATCTGGCTGATGTCGCAGCTCCTTGAATTTGAAACCGATATTTTAATTTTGGGGGGCACTTTTTATGAAGCCTCTGAGACATTCTCTAAATTTTAAAAAACTGATACATCGTTTTTTTATTAAATTTTGTTGTTGGATAAAGGATAATTAAGAGACTGGTGCTTATGTCATGTTCGTTAAAAACCCTGATTCTTCGGAATTGGTAAAGGTTTTAACTTCCTTCGGCATCATCCTACTACTACAATTATGAAGATAGAGATTTTTCCTTTAATGGAGTCTGTTCCTTAAAGATAGATTTTGAAATAAGATCAGGTACAGTTTTTCGAAAATTTAGGTACTTTGCGCATAATACTGTGAGAGAATACGGGCGAGATAGTATATGCTGTTTTAAGAACTACTAGTTTTATTAAAATTTGTCCTTGAGTAGCGTAAATAACATATAAAAGAATGACATGTCTAATTTGTATTGAAATACCTTTTCACAAATTCAAATTCAGATCATTTTCACAAATTGCAAAAGTTCTTTTTCCGGTGTTTCTACCATACTTCAGATAGAGATTTTTCCTTAATTAAATCTGTTGTTGAAAGTCACATCTTGAAATAAGGTGATTATGAACTAAAGTCATCTAGAACTTTTCGAAAACATGAGTTACTTTTGGCGTGATTTTGCATAAAATATTGGCAATTTTTAAACAATTATTTTTTTCAAAAAATCTTCGTATTTTTTCATTAAACGTTCTTATCGAGTGTATCAAAGGACGGTAAGAAACGTGGCGCTGGTAACGAATTCGTCATGCTGTATTTTCGTCGAATCGCGATTGTTCCCGAGGGAAGAAATCCCTCTTTCTCAGACTCAGTTTCCCTGCTGTCACCACTGCATATAGGTAATGGCCGCATACTTTATTAACAGCAGAATGTTTAGATGACGCTTTACTATTTTTTTTTCTTACGTTGTATAAACTAGCTGATTGAAATCAGAGTTACAAACACTAATACAAAAATTGACCACAAACTGAATTACGCTCAGTCCCTCAAATTCAGTCGCAAAAATGCCTACCATCTTCCTTCTAAACTTTCAAACAACTTTCCATTTCTTGGCTCACAATCACTTCAACAATCACACTTCTATTCCTTCATTTGTACACAAAACTAACGTGAAAAAAACATCATTAAAAACAAAGTGAAGAAAGACAAGAAACGCCAGCAAATTCGACATTTTATAAATTGCAAAAATCATCTGATACCAAAACTAAACTTTTTTAAATCCATTCTCCGTCCACTTCTACATAATGCTTGCCCAAACTTGACTCATTCATCAGAATCTCACATAAATAATATTTAAATTAAATAAAAACCCTCCAAAATGCAACCAACCCTGATAATGGTTTCTCAGTAATAAACACCTTCTCTGCGATTGTGACCTAAATTCATTAAAAGAATGAAATATTCATATCTTCTACAATTTGCACTCCCATCTGGAAAAAATCTCTATCATCCCTTTACAATCTTGGAGTAAATAATCCTCATTTTCTGAGAGTTCATAAAAGGTATACAGTTTACTCCTTCATAAATTACTTCTATAATTTCGAGTAATAAGACTTAAAATGAACTTTTTTCTAGCAGCTACCACTGATTCTCAGGGGAATTAAATGGGTTTTGGCACTCTGATTTGATATGGAAGAGGCCATCAATCATCTGAAAGCCGAAATGCTGAACGATTCTCCTCATAGTATGTCATACAGTTTTTAACTGTTTTCCAATGATAAGAAATAATTAAAATAACTGTATATTCTAACAAGAAATGAAATATATAAAAAATAATTCCATCCAGGTTTTGACACTAAAATTAACACTTACCTTGTATTCAATGTAGCTAATAATGCTCCAAATGAAAAATCAATAGCCTATCGTTTCGTTAAAGTAGAAGTTGCTTCCTGAAAGAAAATGCTATAATTAAACGTTTGATACATTTTAATGTACATTATTACATATTACAAGACAACACACATAGAATCATTTCAATATTCATAAATCCATATATCATTATAACGTTTTAAACTGTCCTCCAAGACTTCAATAAACTTTACTAGGGCTTATTTCGTGAACCTTTATTAACAGACATTTTTTGACATAAAGCAAAGATATCAGACGAAATGAGAAAGACATCGGGCAAAACAAAACAAAACAAAAAGAATGAACCACAGTAAACAATATTATTTAATGAACAAGACTGTTTCATGCTATACACTGATCGTAAATACATAACCCTTTTCTCGATAATTTCTTTCAACTCTATTTGATTATGCGGGAAGCCAGCGTTTTCTTGGCAGTCATTGAAAACCTATAAGGTAATGTTGTGTGGTAATAATCTTACAAAAATAATTTAAAGAAAATAGAATTTAGATTACACCAAGAGTTTAGATTGAAAAAGTTGCCGAAAGATAAATAAATGGCATTCATACAATTCATTCAAACCTCTCTATATTGAACAAAGTATGCCCTGCCTACCAATGTCCTGCCTCTACGTGAATCAGTTGGTTTTATCAAAACGAATTTACTGAAGGGGTGCCTATTTTCTTGCAATTCATATCTACATAGTAATTATAATCATCCGTTTTTATTATGCATTTCCACACTACATAAAATACAAAAGTAATATTTGTACGTTATTTTACTTCTACGAATTGACCTTATCGACATGAATCAAATGCACAAGAGTCTTTTGGCTGTCCGGGAGACGCCCTGTATTGGTATAGTTGCCAACGATTTGGTAGTTTTTGTATCTTTATTTAATTGGGGGCAATTTTATGTTAATATATACATAATAAAATAAAATAAAACATAATTGATCAGAAACTTTTTTCTTGCTGCTGGGAGAACTGAACATTCATTCGATCTGCAGTAGTTAAGCACTAGAACATATAAATAAATAAAATTGAAAGGGGAGGAGGAATTCAATAAGGAATTTAATAACTATAAATTGAAGGGAAATATGTGAAGACAAGTGTAGAGCACAAAAGTGCACGTAAATAAATATTCAGTTTGTGTAAATAGATTCACGCCGACCTGGTAACCGTCTCAGTGCTAAGGTTCGAAGGGTCGCGGGTTCCAGTCCCGTCTTGGGCATGGTAGTTTTTCCCTTGTCTCCCATGTATGTATTGTCACGGAGAGCCTCGCGTTCTGGTAACTCCAGATAGGAGGAATCCGCAAGTGTGTTGGTGTCTTGCGCATGGTCGAATATGCGTGCCATCGGGACCTAAAAGGTAACAGGCTGTCGGCTGGAAAAAGCCCTAGAAAAAAATCAGATTCACACCTCAAGTATAAAGACGAATGTGTCGTGTGAGGTCAAAAATGGTCGTTACTCAGGTTGTCATCAAGAACGATTATAATTTTGAGTTATTACTCCCCAATAATTTTCTATTGTGTAAATAACAGGCTAATATGTCCGAGAGATTACAGTCAGAATGGAGGCCACAGAATAAAATCAAAATAGTAGAGTTGGAATTCACGAATGAAAAATACATTATTTATACGTTTAATTCAGGGTTAAGTTAAAAGTTCCAAGTATAAGTCATCTCGCTTGTAATCGACATCAGGAATGAATGTTTGCATGGATGGTTCAAGAATGGATACAAGCTCTTTCTTAGTCCATAGAAATTTCTAAGTGAGGAACGAGAAATATGAAACTGTACAAGAATATTTTTAGAATGAAAAGTTAATTCAAAGCTCTTAAAATTACACTTTTTGATTACGAAGACCAAGATCAAATAAAAAATTTAAATTTAAAATCTATAAAAAGATATAAAACTTTTAAAAAATTAAAAAAATTAAAAAAATTAAAAAGGAAGACAGTAAGAATAACGAAATCGAATGACGGAGAACGAAGACAATGGCTCGTGGCGGCAGCAGGCAAATTGCGGAGTACATAATTCATAGAGGCCGAGAAGACAACAGCGGGAACCGACGAGGAATGGGAGTTGGAGGACTCAATAGGGCTGTAAAGCGTTCGTCAAGGGTGGGTGGTACACGCTGGCTGAGGCTGAGAGTCGGAGAGTGGTGGAGGTGGTGGCTAGAGGCTGTTGGTGCGGCAAGCGGCAAGCGCTGGATTAACCGTGGGGGGTGATGAACTAGGAACATCGATTGGTGGATAGTGAATGAAGAGAGGTAGGTCGGGAACGTCATAACGGGATCGGTGAACAATGAACCACGGTGAGAGATGGTGAATGAGGTGAATGATCAAATAATAGAGATAGGCAGTAAGAGATGCGTAGCAACGTTCGGGTAATGAGAGACGAGTAGTAAAACGAAGGTAAGGAATAACAGAAAAATACTAGGAGTCAGTAACGAGCAGCAAGAAGGGCCAACACAAGGACCGAAAATCATTGATGTGGTAGGGCATGGGATATGCATTCGTAACACGAGACGAGTAGCCACGTAACAAGTAATAGCAAATGATATGATCCTCGACAAGATGAATAAGGTCGGTGAACAAGAAATAAGATATTTCAAATATTGTCCAATGGCATGATAACAGTTTTAAACTGTACAAAGCCGTATATTACGCCTAAGTCGAAGTTTGTTGGGTCATAAGCCAATCTGTACAAAGAATCTTCATACAAATTAAGGAAAAAATATATTTTTTTAAACATACTTTTCCTTTTAAATTCAAAATGACAATCGTGGAGTTGTGTCGCTCTTCTTGTGCACCGCACATATAAGAAGGTGGTGGAGTTGGCCTGCCTGTCTCGAGGAAGAGCTCGTTGCCCTAGCGCCCCGCAAAGGCCGTATAAAGTACATATTTAAAAAAAAAATTATTTACTACTTGTTCAATGACATTAAAATGTGTCAGGAAGCTTAATATAAATGTAATATATGAATATGAGAACACGAGAACGGCATTAGCGACATTTTATAAATTCTGAGAAATTTGTATATTTAAATTAGTATCACTATAAAGTCGCAATGCTTGGTTTCATCATTAAAACCACGACATCTTAATTGTTCATTAAAACCACGAAAATACACTGCCACTGAAATAGAACCTAAAATAAACTCGTTTTTTCAGGATTAATAAAATGTCACTTATACCCTCCGGTTGTTACTCATTCATATAACGTAGAGGTAAGAAGCCCGCATTTAACTCTCCGGTAAATTGTTACCACTAGTTTAATGAAAGTGTTACCACTAAATTTCATTATGAAAGTAAAAATTAATTATGAAATGAGTGAACAGAACTGAGACAAATGTTAGATTATGGAGGACGGAAACTATTATTAGGAAAACGTGATCGGATGAGGATGAGGAAAAGAGTTTTGATAAATTAAAGTATCTTGATGATATTTCTAAAAAATAATATGCTATGTTTTAAAACATACTTTTCAGTACAACTAAAACATTACAATCGTTGAGTTGTGTCGCTCTTCTTGCACAACGCGCATATAAGGTGGTGCTGAAGGTGGTGGTAAGGTGGTTGTTAGGTCTGTGGTTGTCTGTCTTGAGACGCGTCCCGTCACCAGAGCACCCCGTGGAGGCAGTGTGAATTATCTTGATGAAATTTCCAGAAGAAATACACTATTTTGAAACATTCTTCTTCATTCGACTTGAAAATGACAATTGTTGTGTGGCTCTTCTTTTACACCACACGTATTAGAAGATGCAGGAAATGGTCCGTCTGTTCCAGAAGTGGCCCATCGCTAGCGCGGCCTACGGAGGCCGTATAAAGTATCTTGATGAAATTTCCTGAAGAAATATACTATTTTTTAAACATTCGTGTCCGTTGGCCTTGAAAATTGTTGTGGCTCTTCTTGTGCACCGCGCGTATAAGCAGGCGCCGTCTGCCTAGAGAACCGGCCCGTCGGAAGCGCGGCAAAGAAGAGGGCTTACGCGTGCGCCCAGTGGGCGAGGGCGCTGGGCACGCCGGGCGACCCGGCGACCCCGGCCGCCCGCCCCGCTGCCCGCCTCCGCTCGGGCGGCGCGCCGCAGCGCTTCGGCCAGCGCCAAGCGAGCCGCGGCTCGCAGCCGCGCTTTAACAATATGCAATTAAAATAGAGTAAAGCATGTAGTGCATAAAGTTCAAAGATGAGCGGGAAAATTATCCGCGCGCCGACATATGCCTTGTCGAACGCAATCCCCGCTAATACCGCGTATCGACGAGCGAGCACGCGGCGCCGCCGCCGCCCCCCCGCCGCCCCCTCGCCCCGCCCCGTGCTCCGCACCACCCGCTCCGTCGCGCCGTGCAGCACTGCTCCACGCCCCGCCACGCCCCGCCCTGCCACGCCTTGCCCTGCCGCTCCGCGTTGGGATCCCATCGCTCCTCCCAATCTCGCTGGGCGCTGCAAGGCGGCAGAATGCCCTCAGGGATTGTTTTCGGATTTCTCTTCCTCATTCCAGGGCAATTTTCATTTCCTTCGAGAAGAACTTTTCAATAACGGGAAATGTGCATATTAAAATTCTGGCATACGTGTATACTTAATATGACGTTCAAATTAAGCATACACAAAGATATTAATAATGTTGACACAATTATTTTGGATCTAATTTTTTATACATGTAAGATTAATGTTAAGACGTGGAAGGGTACAATTTCTTCTTCCTCATAATTATGTTACGGTACTCAATATAGTATATAGTTTTGTCATTTTGATTCCATCTAGCTTTGTTTCCATCACAGCGAAATGAACAAAAATATATTCAGTTTCTTTGCGTGCTATTAGGCTTACTTTCATCAATCACAAAAATAATGATAAAAAAGACAATGTAGCAATGATAGAAAATAATGACAAAACTGGAAACAGTCTTCAGTATTCCATCGCCACAAATTGTAACAGATTTTAAACTTGGAATCAGTATATCGTTACAAGATTTCTATTTAGGGGATGTGTTATTGAAAAATACATATATTTATGTTCTCTACATCTTAAGACGCTAAATAATC